CCTGGATATCGACCATGATGCGCAGAAGGGTCTATTCACTCAGATCTTTCAAGCTGAAAAGATGTCCGACATTAACATTCGAGTGAAAACCGGAAAATTTACAGTAACCTAGTGTAGCAAAGGAGCAATAAGACGAGAGTATTTTTCTTCTGATGTCACACGTGACTTCCGATTGAGAACAAAATGAGGTCGAGAAGAATTGTGATGCAAGAAACGAAGAGTGTCGTGCAGTTTAGGCTACTTCATGGAAAGCAATAGAAAAGGAAATTTTAGAGTTTTTCGAATATTGTGTACTGGAAAAAATTTTTCTCGAGAGACGAGCAGAGAAAGCGAACCGCAATGTGGCAAACCTTGAAGCTACGAAAGACAACGACAACCCCTGCTGACAGCCGGAGAACGCCTCAGCAAAGCTAATTTATGATCAAGAAAGAAGTATGCACCTTCACCTGAAATAAACCAGTCGTAGCAGTGAGTACTGTGGGCACTTTTATTTACGACGTCTAGTGGCGAATAACCTGTTGAAAACCAATGAAATCTTTGGTTGCATCAAACATCTGTGGAAACAGTTTGCTTCATCTAGTACACCTATAACTTAGAACAGTTTCAAATGGCGATCTATATGGCACGATAGCGATCACATACTTAGCTCTCGAATATTCTCATATACCTGTAGTCTTGTTACCTCGTTTACTCATCCTCCTTCAACCACTGCACAAAAGGAAACCAATTTATTAACTGTCACTCACCAATGTATACATCTAATAAGAACGAACTGGACACGTTCAATAAGCTTCGTGATGGAGAGTTCTTTCGTAATTTTGGAAGTTTGTACATAATTGGAAACTTTGGTGAAAAGACAAAAAAAGACTAAAAAGGGAAACTACTACACCGGGTTTCCGACCATAAGTGCTTATTTGATGAAAATTCGTTAGAAATGATGGGAAAAATAGCCATCTAAAACGTGAACGGCCTATTGTATTGTTTCTAATTCATGCCAAGAAAAATAACTTCGGATGTTTCTCTCCGAAGTTCAGCTCGCAATATAAAACATTAAGAGAGGCACTGCTCAAACACCAGACGACTTTATCACTCAAATTCAGAGTGATAAACTCATATTTTGTGGCATCATCTTTTTCAGTGCGTTCCACGAGCTACCTACGAGGACTACCCTTTCAAGCAAGAAACCAGTTCAGGTAAAGCTCATCCAGGTGGGAGAATGAGATTGTACATATTCTATCGCTTCGGTCACACCGACTTTGTTTTTTGACAGGTCAACACGAGGTTGTTACTATGCTAACTCTTCATTCACGATAATTGACGTCTTGGCAGATTTCGTCATCTTCAAAGCCTGAAAAGATCAAATTGACCACAAGTAGGTCAGCCTTCATAACCTCAATAGAAAAGCTAGGCGCTTAAATTTTAACGGAATTCGGAACAACGTCATCAAAAATATTCACGGCTCTTTATTAGTTGTACAGTTGTAGATGGAGACCAAGTTCATAAAGCGTTACATTGGAGAAAAAACTGACTAGCTCAGGATAAAAGATCTCTGTCTCTGCGAATCTCTGTGTCTTGTGCTTATAGGGGAAGTGTTTTGTTTAACTTTAAGTTATCCGACTGCGCTCTTTTTATATGGGCACAAAACGTTCTACCACTTCGCCAATACATTCATCGCCGCACCCTCCACAAGAGATCAGAAAAACTGTATTCTGACCGTGCGATTGCTCTCTCTACTGTTAAGGTAAATTATGCAATTTTATGTCATGCACAGAAGGTCATACAAACGCTTACCATCTAGCTCGCGTCGTACTCTGTTCGGTGGTACTTCAATAGCGAATCCTATTTCTCCTAGCAAAACCTTGCAAACACCGTTTTATTAATGTTTTCTGTATTACTGGACTTATTTCGTTGGAAATGAAAAGCAATGTGAACGGGACCCTATTTTGAAGTAAAACTCACCATCTAATGTAGAAATCCAAAGGTTTACAGCGCAAAAGTCTTGCAGCATTCTGGAAAAATTCAAAAATCCAGAAATGAACAGTACGAAGGAATGTATTGCTATGTTGCCTGTTCTCAGACAATGCCTCAATTTTTACCTGATCCAGTTACATTCCTCTCCCATGTTAGGCTGTGCGTACTCGGTCTCCATCTATAACTGTACGACTGATAAAGAACGGTGAATATTAGAACACATCGTTTCCAATGCGAGTGAAATCAAAGCTTATGGGTCTTGTGTTCAAATTAAGAAAGTATGTGGTGATTAAAATCTAGTCAACTTGGTTTTTTCAAGCTCTGAAGAAGGCGGAAGTATCAGTTACTGTAGATAAATAAATAACATATTAACAAATCCGTCTTTGTTCATGAAATGAACAATGATTGATGCCGAGATTAATACAATGTCGTTCCTGGGAATTATTCTACCAGTGACCGTGATCCAAAGAGTGGACCCGTTTTCCATAAGGCTATCTACTTCTACTGCAACATAATCGCGAAAATGTGTTGGCTCTTCACCATCGTAGTCGAGAGGAAGAGTTCAACAACGCAACATCGTCGCACTGATGTTGTCCATCATGGCACTGCAATGTTACTCGACAGAGAAGAACACATTGATATCAAAATTCTATGGAATCTTTGTTCTTCTGACGACACTGTTATCTTTTCGCGAAGTATCACTGAAAGAAGAAGCGATGCTCAACAAGCCTAGCAACTGGGAAATGACGAAACTGTATATGAATCGGAACAAATGCAATTTATGAGAAACTTGACGATATAGCAGAAAACATAATGAGATAGATGGCTCTTTTATTGCGAAGACGTCGCATTATAAGCGTCCGGAGCCTTCAATGAATGTGATAAACTACTTGAGGTAGGGCTAGTGCAGAACATAAAGTAGTCTATACATCCACAAAAGCAACGAGATATGAATTTTCTCTCATTGGAATAAACAGCAATATATTAGTGCTAGTTCTTCCAAACGGTTTACCGCCTCATCTTGGCTGGCAGGTGTTCCTGAGTGTAGGGTTGCGTTGTACAGTGGGGGATTCATTCCCCTGACAGGGTTTTCCAAACTGAGAAGAAGTCCGGCGCTTCCATCAGGAAGCCTAGCTAAGAGTAAACCAATACTAGGATCCACCATCGTCCTGGTATCAAATTAGTCGCATGGTAGTAAATCTCCCTCTGATCCACAAGGGCTGCAACCGCTCGTGGTGGTAAAGACCTAAAGCAGACTTTCGCCAGGCTGACCTCAGGATTCCAGGGAGCCAAATGGCTTAGCCAGCAAATCTCCGAAAAATGGAGATTTGATCTTCTTGAGTTGAGGCGAGTTCGGTATACTTGTCTTCGGTATACTTGTCCTTGTTGTTATTGTTGTTGTTGCTCGATGGCTGAAGTTTCGACGATTTCGCCTTCCTCAGAGCCCTGCTGCTACGAGTGGTACTCTGAGCGTATGAATATAATAAATATATTACTACTACTATATTATTAGGTATACTTGTAGATAAACCTTTATCCTTTTATCAGATTTGTTTACTTCCATCACACCAGATAAATCCTTCACTTGCATGGTCCTAGTACGTGTTATACAACTTCAATGGTGCTGAGATGTTTGCAAAACTCCGGACCGCTGGCGTATGCAGTGGGGAACGAACGCGTTAATGTCCTTTCTGGAAAGTAACGCGTTCACCACCACACCATACAAGTCCTTCGCTTCGCCTGTCTCTCAGCTAGTTCTATCGCTCTTTGCCATCAGCAATCACCCGTCAGCGGGAATACTCTGGGAACCACAAATCGCAACGAACCCAGTTAAGCTGAGGCCGCAGTTATAATCACAATTTTAACTTATTATTTACTGCCTACTCTTTTTAACGGCAGCGTATACGTTGTGAAATATAACTTCAATGGTGCTGAGATATTTGCAAAACTCCGGACCGCATGTGTATGCGGTGTAGAACGTACGCGCTATTGTCCTTTCCGGGAAGTAACGCGCTCGCCACCTCATCATGCTGTTCCTTCCCACTGACGGCTGATTGCTGATGGCAGAGATGGATACAAATAGCTGAAAGACAGGCAAAACGAAGAACCCGCATGATGTGATGGTGAACGCGCTACTCCCAGGAAAGGACAATAGTGCGTTCGTTCCCTACCGCAATACACCTGCGGTCCGCAGTTTTGCAAATATCTCAGCATCATTGAAGTTACATTTCACAATGTATACCCTGCCGCTAAAAAGAGTATGAAGTAAATAACTAGTACGTGGTGTCAAATCCATCCATATTTGAGATTATTTGGATACTTGGATGGCCCGTCTTCACTGGTTGTGCGTGTCCCAGTTAACTTCCATTTTTTCGGAGATTTGCTGGTTTTTCCATCGCGGTTTCGTAAACTCCCGAAGCCAGTTTAGCGAAATTCTGCTCCATGTCGTCACCCCAGTGAGGATTGAGGATGGGCTATTCAAGTATCAAGTATCAAGTGTCAAGCTATCCTGATTCCCTGGAGTCCCGAGTTCAGTCAGGCCAAAGTCAGTCTCACGTCGTCTCAGCTACAGGTAGTTGCCACCCTTGAGGATCAGAGAAAAGTTTGCCACCATGCTATTTTGCTACCAGAACGGTGTTGGATCGTGGTATTTGTTTACTCTTAGCTGGGCTTTCTAATGGAAACTTCAGAATTCCTGCTCAGCTTTGGAGACTCTGCAGGGATGGGGGATGAATCCCCGGCTGTACAACGCCGTCCGACGCCCATTAACACCTCCTAGCCACGATAAGACGGTAAACCGTTGAGAGGTATTTAAGTTTGATAGAGATAAAATTGGTAAGTGGATAGTCGTTCGTAAACAGCCGTTTCTCATTTAAGACGTTTGCAGTGCGTGTGTTTGGTAAGACTGTACTATTTCTATGCTTTGATATTCAAGTATAGGAAATCAAAACGAAAAGCCCTATAGCATTAACATTTGCTTCTTCATACAAGCATCGCTGAAGCTTTTAAGGATTTACTGCCACACAATAATGCCAACCAAAACGCTTACTATAGAGCAGAACCTGGAGGACTACGTGAAGTTGGATAAAGTCGGAGAAGGTGGAAAATTTGGAGTAAATTGGAAGATGCAATGAGTTTCCTAGTTTTTCTTTATTGCAGGAACATATGGTGTAGTGTACAAAGCACGACACAAGCAAACAAATCAATTGGTTGCCATCAAGAAGATTCGCCTTGGGGAAGAAGAAGAAGTTAGTTTACCCTTCTTATCTGTCAAAAAATTCAAAAGATTGGCTTTCCATAAACATCGAAATTTTATTATCGAAGACTATTTAATCGATATATTTATTCATATGTGCTTATGAACTGATCTTGTAACCACTCTAAGCTTTTCGTTGAAAATTTTCGAAAAGTGGTGAGACGCACCTGTGACAGCACGGCTCTGAGGAAGGAAATCGTCCAAACGCCAGCCATATACCAACAACAACAGCAACGACAACAACGACAACTTCTGGCAGTCTCTCATCGGCTCAACAAAACCAGATCATAAGAGCATATAAATGAATGCTGAAAAATTGTTGTTACAAAGAAGGCACTAAGATGGCCTGTGAGGACAGGTCATGCAACGACAAAACATTTTCATTGAAAAAGTCACCATACGGCAACGGCAAACATTTGGCACAAATCACGTTTACAACTCCGCTACACCGAGAACCCTTCAATGGCATGCGCCATTTAGAAGGTGTTTTCATAAAGGAATTGAAGAAACCGCAGCGATGTGGTGTCCGCTCGGCTCGCACCTTTGTGCGCGTTAAACGTGACGATGGAATGCTATGATTCTGGAGCATTAATTGTTAGGGCTCATCAAGATTCTTAGTAGATTAAAGAATAAGTTCTTAGTTTTCTAACCCCTCTATCAATGCTTCTAAACGTGATGAGTTAAAGTCTCAGTAAATGTGAAGCAGATTGGCGTCCTCTATTGGCTTCGAACTTCAGTAGACACCGTGGTCCCTTACTCGGCCGTGCTAAATTCTCATTGAAACACGGGGTGATTGAATCGTTGGATTTTTATGTGCTTACGATGCTACTGTGCCACCGTCGAATGAACATTACGCTTCATGGTTCTGGCCGTTTCTTACGATTCCTTGCGCTTCACGATTCATGGAGATGATCATCAGATAGAAAGCACTTGAAGGTCCTAAAGTGTCGGAAGACAGCTTAGCTCTAGTCAAACGTTAGGACCGTTTGGGCCTTTGTCAATCCAATAACCGCAGCATGATGTATCTTTAAAATGAATTTCTCCCTCATAATGCTGTTTGTTTTTTTTATTCGAATTGCTTTACGTAAGCCGTTATAACGTTTTGTGCCTCTAGGAGCCCAAAGATATGTGGATTTGCCAGCGAGTGCCATCTGTAGACTCTCTTCGTCATGAATGTTGCTAACTCTCCTTCCTGGGGGTACTAAGATAACTCTTCAAAAGTGCTCAGAAGTCCTCATCACAAACAGTCAACGATGTTTTTTAAATCAAAAAAAGTTGTTCTCACATAGTCTTGTTAGCAGTTTGCAAACCATGGCGGTTTGGAGTCTTGGTTGGCGCGCTGCGAGGTCAAACAGCAAACCGTGCATTACACAAAACCTTTAATTAACGTGCTTTGCACGAAATCTTTAGCTGCTGCACGTCTCGCTGTGTACATTATTAGTTATCTGAGTATACCTCATGAAAGGTTATTAATGAAATATTAGTAAGTGATGGCCACTTACGCGATAATGGACACTTCGTAGCAACATTTCATTCACTACCCTGGTAATACACCATATACCTACGTTCGTGACATCGGAAAAAAATCATTTTGAACTGAGATACATGACAAACATCTCTTACGAAACTTGGATAACCTTGAAGATAATTTGCTTGATTGTGCGGTGAACTCAACGACCAATAATTCACCAACCATTAGTTGTTTTATTAGGATGAAAAATTCAGCGCTTCTGAAAACTTTCGAGACTAATAGTGAACTCATAATGTTAACTTTTTATTTACTGCCTATTGAAATTTTTTATGGCAGGGTATTATGTGTGCTACAACCAAAATGATGCTGTGATATTTTGCAAAATTCCAGATCACAGGTGTCTGCGATGGGGAACAAACGCGCTATTACCCTTTCTGGGGGCTAACGCGTTCACCACCACACCATTCGGGCCCTTAGTTTCGCCTGTCTCTCACTAAAAGTGAGCATCATGTTTAAATTATTTATATAGTGGCGTAGCCACTACCTTTTTACGTCAAAAAGTACGAAACCAATCATTGAGTAAAAACTTGAGCTCACTCGCGCTATGGAGCTCATTATAGATTCCCCCCCCCCCCCGTTATGATTTATTTGTCATCATTTGATATGCAACGTCACCATCAAAAAGCTTATCCTCGAGCAGAACAAATGAAAGACGTGGCTCTTATCTCATTAAAGAGCTTTCCACCTAAATCAGCGTTGTCGTCAGTATATTAAGAAACAAATGTCAATTTCGGACAGGTATTTTTACGTCAATAAGAAGTTTCCGTAATTTTATGAGGCTTGTCTACGATCCCAAGTTTTGCATTCCTATTTTAGGACACTACGGTACTGCGTGTCTTATCAAGAGCTGAATTTAAAGTTGGAAATTCGATGTAAACGTTTAAGGGCATCCCGGCTACAGCGATTCGAGAAATTTCTATGCTTCAAGAACTAAGAAATCCAAATGTAGTGGAATTGATTTCTATCTCACTTCAGGTGCAAATAAAATTGTTTTTTTGGGGTAAATAATAAAATAACAAACTCTTGTTTTCAAACAAAAGTTCCAGGAAAACCGTTTATACCTCGTTTTCGAATTCATAGCATTGGATTTGAGAAAATATTTGGATGCAGTTCCCAAGAACGACTTCGTACCAAGAGAAACTGTGCAGCGGTTTGCGTTTCAGGTGATATTTCAATGGAATTTTTGTGATTCTGTAACTAATTTGTAACAATATAGGTTATGTATGACTCATGCCGCGGAGCATTTTGGCCGATGTGAAACACATTAGATTCATCCTGCAGTAACTGCCACGACCGACTTTCTATTAACCTCGGCATTGATCAAGTGATTTTGTTCGTATTTTTTTGAGCAAACGCGAGGTGTT